GAAAGCCTTCAGATGATGCCACTCATCCACTGAATGGCTCGTTATGCAGGTACTTCTAACCATTAACTGATATAAGATTAGAATATCGACGCATACCCGCCCGTAAAGAACTGTACGTCATCGTTATATATCCGTCGTTCCGTTCATGGCGCGCTATTTAATTAATCATATTCGGATAAGTTTTGTGGATAAGTTTTTTTTCAGATTATGCCGATGGATTTAACCATGTATAGTTATGTTTCAAGCAGCAAATTAAAATTCAATGTGGCTTAGAAAACAAATGAGACTGATAACTTTATCAGCCGCTTTTTCCTGGTATCCAGCTAACGGTCCGTCATAATAGATAAATTTTTCTTGACGTCATTGGGCTCGTGAAGCATCATTAAGCAATGCCATAGTAGTTCAAATCTAAGTTTTGCTCTAAGAAAATGACTGCTTTCCGGTGTAGGTTATGTTCTAATGAGTTGGAGGGATGCATGAACGGATGCAAAATTTAACCGAAAGTTCATCTTGTGCAAACTGACAATTGGTTTAAGGTTATTGTGACGCACGATATTTTATTCAAGCAAACCTGTCTTTTTTAGACAAAGCATAGATCAGTGCACAGTGGAATAATGGCTGTTATTATGTACGATGATTAAATAAAGTTTTGAACTAAATCAGTTTCAGTAATCAGTATATTAAATTGACATTTGTGTTCAGTCACAACGAATCTAACTATATAAGTCTTACTCGAAAAAAAAATTTCTAGCAATGTGTGCGTATTCATATTTTAACGAGCAGTCGCATCTTTACTGAAGAAGATACTGAAACACTGTTAACTTCAGTTCATGCCGTTTATTTACAAACATAATACCTGCAAATCATACCGTATCGAAGCAGCAATCGATCAGTTGATCGATAAATTTCACGAAGCATTGCAGACGTTATCATATAGCGTTACGTCATGCAGCAGGTGCGGCTATCTCTTCGCAATGCTGACGTGTCTTCCTTCATACAGAGTACACATGTAAAGAGTTGATTGGCTGAACGGCGAGACATCAGCCAATGACAAGTGGGCAGATAAGCGCAGCCAATCAAATTCGTACACATGGCATGCGATTCTTATAGCACGACTACAGCGGGCGCGGAGGTCATTGCAGAGGTGAAAATCTTGTGTTGGTGAGTTGTGATGTTTTCGTCGTGGTGGTGTGCCTTTTTGGGCGTTGCATCTGTGTTTGCAACTGACTATTTCGTAGAGAAATTCGACGGTAAGGAAAAATCCTGTTTGTTCAGTTTCAACTGTTCGTTCGTGAAATTTCGTGTCAAGAAAGTAAAGCAATCTTGCAGACGGTGGTAAATGGACTGAGAGATGGGTGCAATCGAAGCATAAAGACGACTATGGCGCCTTCAAACTGACTGCCGGAAAGTTTTATGGCGATGCCGAAAAAGATAAAGGTAAAACTTTTTAATGTTCCCGTCATTTTTTAAGTTAAATCATCGTTTCATGCTCATAGCGTTGAGACGTCAAGCGAAACGTCGTCGTGTTGTTAGATTTGTATGTTGACACCGTTTGACTGCTCCAAAGCAAAATGTAAAATGTCCCTATATTAAAGCTTTTAATGTGTCCGCAACGGAAACTTAACACATTTAGGTTTGTTAGTTGTGTCCAAGAGGGCGAAACTTTCCCAAAATGTATGCACTTGGACGTTTCTTTGGGTTTATAATAGGAATTATATGGACATACTTGAGGATTAGTTGACGAATGTAGTAACCATTTACATAATGCTTGACGTCTAGATTGTTCGTGAATTTTGAACTACATATGTGAGTCATGTGATAACAGTTTTAAAATTTAGTTTTGAGTTTTAAGCAGTTTCAGTGCCACAGTGTATGCGTAATGTCCCAATATGTAGCGTGGCGAAGTCCGTTAGACATGTATGTAAAAACAGTACACCATTTAAGTACTGCACATAATAATGTTCAAATGTCTTTACTGATGCAGTTTTAAATGAATCTGAATAAAAGTGCATTTAGTTTTTATCTGGATCGAATAAACTGTTAGATCCCGTCAAATTACGTCCGTAGAAGTTCTTCATAAACACAGTTCTATTTTTTCATCAAGATATGTTCTCCAGCCGATCTAAAAGCAGGTATCGTGGCGTATTGTACCACCTTTTTCTCCTAGTTGCTTACGGAGGCCATTGAATTGTTAGCCTGCTTAGGGAGATAAATTTGGCATATTTGGTGCCAATTGCAGCAGAACGAGAGTTTTCCATACATAGAAAAGACTCGTTTAGATTTCAAAATATGAAGCTGAAGTAGATTCGCTGTGGACAGGCCGAAATTCTCTCTGCCTTCATTTTATCGTTTTTCACATGGAACAGCTTGTACTCATAGTAATGAGTCCAGTGAGTTAGTTTTCTGTAGATGAATACATGTATCTTGTTAATATTAGCCACAACGTCGGGTGTAAGGACTTGTAACGAACTTTATTTTATCATCTTTTTTGTCTAGTAGTATATCAGCGGAAAATAAGTAGTTCAAATTTCGGTTAGCAGTAAGTAGTTCAAGTTCAATAAGTAGTTCAAGCAATTTTCGATTAGCAGAATTTTTCAGTTTCCTTTAAGCAGTTTCGGTTGCAATTTTTGTACCATTCTCGAAGTGAATCTTCAGCTAGTACTGGTACTTTGAAGATTTATTTGCCGTTCGACTGTAATCTAACAGGTGATTACGTAGTCCTTTAGTATCGGTGACGTATAGAACCGCTCTGTAGTAAAACTTTTCATTGGTATAAAATCAGCCATGATTGTGTTCTTCGCTGTCTGTACTTCATTCATTATTCAAACTGCGTTTTTACGGTGGAAATGTAAGCATAGTCAAATCCGTATTTATGTGCATTTATCTTAGAAACAAGCGTGATTTAAGATTTAAATGACGTCCGCTGCTCCACAGGTCCGTGGCATGTACCAGCTTTACAGCACTTCCTTATATACTTATTAAGTTGAAGATTTTTTGTCAAATGTTGACTTGTTTCATGCAGAAAACTGTCAGCAGAGTTAGCTTTAATCATTCAGTACTTACATTTCTGACTGCAAACGCTATAATTCAGCATTCTATGTATTTTTGCTCGTAATCATCGAAACGTGAGATTAAGAAGATAATTACGTATAAACTTGAACTATAAATAGATGGTAGAATTTGGCAGATATAGCGTTAGCGATAGCAGTTATAAGATAAAGATGCTACAATATAATAC